ATCTCAAGTGGATGCAATGGCCAGGAGTGCTTGGTATCAACTTTGGTTAATTTGCCAACTGCATCCCTACCTGGACCAGAAGGAACTTGAAGCTGTAGAACTTGCCCTGGTAATCTCTCATTTGGATTTCTGTAATGCGCTCTGCATGGGGCTACCTATGTACCAAGTTTGGAAGCTTCAACTTTTCAAAATGCGGCAGCCAGATTGGTTACCGGAACATCTAGGTCTGACCATATAACTCCTGTGTTAAAAGCTCTACATTGGCTGCCGATTAGTGTTGGTTTTTACCTTTAAAGCCCTATATGGCTTGGGCCTGAGTTACTTGAAGGAACACCTCTCCCCACACAATCTGCCTCTCACTCTCAGAACATCAGGGAAGAATCTACTAGAATACCAAAAAAATCAGACTTACTACGACTTCCCAAAGATCATTTACGGCCACAGCTCCCAAGTTGTGGAACAGCCTGCCGGAAGAGATCCATCTTATCACCACTCTAGAGGCCTTCAGGAAGGCACTCAAGATGGAGCTCTTCCAGCAGGTCTATTTACCTGACCTCCTCAACGGGCCTTAAGTTAAAATAGTATGATTACATGGCTTGAAAGTGGGTGTTGATTAGGTTGTTTTATTGACTTTTACAATTGTTGTTTATTGACTTTTATAATGTTCTTATTGTATTTATTGTATTCACTTTACTTGATTGTAATTTTGTATACTGTTGCTCATTTTATTGGTGTAATAATCCTGCCTCGATCCATAGGGAGAGGCAGGAAATATAAATAAAACAATTATTATTATGATTATTATTATACTCTCTCTGCCTCAGAGGATTGTAATGGAAAACCCCTTTGAAGAAACCTGTCAAGAAAACCCCATGATAGGTTTCGCTTTGGGTCATCATAAGTCAGCAATGACTTTAAGGTACATAACAAAGTCGTAAACTGTGTTTTAGAGAAACTTCATATACTTTTAAGAAAGTACAATAACATTCAAAAAGCAGTGATACCTTTACTGGCTCAATCAAAAGACACAAAATATATGTTGCAAGCTCTTGAAGCTCCACTAGCTTCTTCATCAGGCAAAGGTTAAAAAATCATACAGGAGGGAGAAAATGATGATGTTTGTCACAAGCCACAAGCCTGCATTTTGTCAAAATATTTTTTTTTTTTTTTGCATACTGTGGGCAGTTCTCATTCAGTCCTGGACAGGGGAAAAATAGGTTTAAGAGGAACCTTGAATTTTTATCTCCCAACAATAGAATTATGTCCGCAGAATTTTACTACCATTCCATATATCAATCTTTTCCTTCTGTCTATGTCTTTTTTCACTGGCTGAAATAATGAAAAAGATGAGATCATTAAGCTCACTTCTGTCTCAACTATTGGGCAAAACACTTCCAGAATATTTTGCCACCTGTCTTTGTTCCTACAAATGCTACATAGTTACTTTCAAAATCAAATCAAATCAAAATATATCTGGGAATCTATGCCAGTTAATATGAAGTCGAAGGCTTTCATGGCCGGCATCCATAGGTTTTCATGGCCAGCATCCACAGAACAATACCTATTCAACACAGAACAATACACAGTTTACATGGAAATCACTCCTCCCAACCCAGAGTCTCACAGTATATATAGACCCACTCTCTTCTATCACAGTATTCTCTGAAGTGTGAAACATCAGAAAGAAACTCTTCTAGAACATGGCCACACAGCCCGAAAAACCCACAAAAACCTATGCCAGGTAATGTTTTTAAAGGAAACTGGGTATCATTCCCAGAATCTGATCACAGCTCAGAAAACTAGAATATTTGTCAACTGCAATTTTATCAGTATGATGTGCTGAAAACTGAAATACTGAACTCAC